GCACTGGGAAGGAAGAGAGAGTGTGCATGTTCTGACGTGGTGTGTTTGCTTTCCTCAACAGCACAGACAGATTGAACATTCACAGCTTGACCCAAAACTCTTTTTATCCAGAATGTTTTCAGGAAGGAGCTGAGAGAAGCCTGAGAAGTGAAGGAGGGGGATGCTGGCAGGCTGTAAACTGATGCTTGTCTGTACATATTGTCTCCTTCAGATCTATATATGCTGAGCTCTCAGCTACTCCAAAAACAAACCAGGAAGAGCTGGAGATAGCATCTGATGGCTTCAAGGTATATTTTCATCTCCTGGGCTGGCTGGAGACAGTCACAACAGCTCCTGGCATAATTTTATGAAATTTGATAGTATCAGTATCATTGAAGGAGAGATGCTACAAACAGCCACAATTCCTACATAGCCTGGACATATCCTGAGGAGGTCCATGCTGGGCACCAAGCAAGGCAGGGTCCTGGGACAAAAATAGCATTTGATAATGTAATTACAGACGCAAGCACAGTGCATCTGCTCTGCTGTGACTGAGGCTGCCTGAGCTAAAATATCATTGTACAATATAAATTGTGGCATTACCTAATTGAGGAAGGCTTGATTTTATAATCTGGAAATTGTCTCCTTATAAACTTCAGGTAATTCTTCATAGCAAGCAGGTATTCAGCTAGAAGTGATGTGGATTTCCTGGGTATGAAGAGCACAGCTGCTTTCAGCTGCCCTCCTTTTGTTTTCAAGGAGGAAAAAAAAATAAGGAGCAAAGCAAAGGACACATTTACAAAGGCTAATACCTGACTTATAATTGGCACAATGGTTTGGGAATCATCATGACCTGTTAGTCCATTGCTTCAGCTCATTTTGCTTTCTTTATAAAAAGAAAAGGATTATCAGAAAACTGGCCTCTTATAAAGTATACACTACAGGATGAATATTTCACTATAGTATATGGCAAATAGATAAGAGTTCATCTGCTTTCCTTGCTTTTCAAATAAAAAAATTTCTGGGCTCAGGCTAAGAATAAGCTGTCACATATTTAATTTTATTGAGTTTCATGCAGGAGAATTTAAAAAGCTGTGTTTTGCAATAAAAATTATTACATTCTGAAAAACAGAGATGTCAGTTAGAGTTTCTGTCGTGTATATTTTTGCTTCACTTCAGAGTTCCAGAAAGTCACACTGTTTAAATGTATCTTTGTGTGACAACACTTCATCTTTAAATGGTTTAGTTTTAATTACTGAAATGAGGGTTCCATTATGTTTAGTGCACCAATAAGGAACTTCCACTTCTCTCTGCAAGGCAGAGGAAAAAGAGTGTATAAAGACTGCAAAGTAGCACAAAAGAGTGGAAAATCACATGTATTGAAACTCTACAGATATTTATGGTCTTCACTTAAAATTGTTTGCTGTTTCATTTTTAAACAGGGTAAAACCTGTTCCCACTGCTCTCACAGATGGTTTTTTCTCTATTTTGGTGAAGTTTTTTTTTTATACAGTGATAGGCAGACTACAGAAATATCTGTGCTTGTCTGAGAGTGAATCCTTGGTCTGTCACTAAAAACCAGGATGCGCTGCTCTGTGGGACTGGGGACAGCATTTGTGGGCCTGGCATGGAGAGGCAGTGAAATTGCAGCAAGTTCATAAATGTATCTTCTGAATTTTAAAGTAATTGTGATGGGTACTAGTACGTGTCCAGTCTGTGGGTCCCCTCCAAGCCAAGCTGCTCTGTGATTCCATGAACACCCAAGGACTCCTCCTGCAGAGTTTGTGTTGTGTGAAGAGACAGGTGCTGTACAAAGCACAGCTGAGGAACTGCCAGAAACAGCCTCACCTTCCTGAGGACCTCACACAGGAACAGCTTTCCCTTGGTCACACACAGAAATGTGAAACATGCAACCCAACTCCATGTCCATGAGCATCCAGAGCCTGCTGGGTTCTTTATCAGTTGGGTTTGTTGGGGTTTTTAATGGCCGATAAACTAACCTGGAGCATTTCTCTGCCCAATGTCCTTATTTCATGGCCACATTTGCATTTTCTTCAAGGAAAATAGCAAATTCCATTAGCAGCCTTAGAGTCTATTCCCTCCATGGTTAAACCTGACAGAGGAAGAGCTTGCTGTGGTTTCCACCAGCAGCAGGCCCAGCTTGCAGCGTGTTATTGTCTTATTCTTGGGTGAGTATTTCAAACACAGGGTGGGGTATTTTTTAGCAGTGTTTTGTTGTCTTATTCTTGAGTGAGTATTTTTAAATGCAGGGAAGAGCTGTGGCACCTGCTGGTGTGTGCAAGCAGAGCTGCCAGGCTGTGTGTGCTGTGACCCCGAGGGCTGGGGACACTGAGCACAGCTTTAGAGCCCTGCTTTCTTTAAGCACAGCTACAGTCTGCTCTTCCTGCTTTAGGATCTGGCTACATGTGAATAAAAAGATCAGACAGACAGTGAGAAGAAAGAACCATTATTTTAAAAAAATGTAGCTGGAAATGTGAGCTGTGCCTGGATGTGCAAGTGCTACAGAATCCTTTCACTGTGTTCATGCTTTTATAAGAACTATTGAAAAAATACCAATTTAACCAAGAGAATTTCTATTCTGTTGCTAACAGCAAGAAAGGCAAAGAAGGGAATACAAACATACCACACAGTTTCTGTAATACTAAGTGTGTGTTTTATCCTTTTGCTCTAATTAAAGGAAAGGCTAAAGCAGATGCAAAAGCTAAAGAGCTGTGGCTCTCATTAAAGCTGCCCTGGCACTCTGTGCTCTGAGTGTAGGTGTAGAGCTGCTCGTTAGCAGTGTTCAAAGCTGAGCCTGCTTAAACCTGGCTGAGGAGGCTCAGCTGCATTTGGTTGGTTGGACAGGTCATTCCCAGGGGAATCCAGTCCTGTCAGAAGAAATCAGTTACTAAAATTCATGACCTACATACAGACTTCTGGTCTTTGGATATTGGCAATTCATTGCTTCAGAAATCAAATGAAAAAAAGAATATGGCTACATATAAAGTCTTCCACAATATGTCTATGAATTAGAGTTTATGTAATTTGCTTAGTGAAACAGATACAAAACTTGGACCACTGAGGTAACCATGACACGTGCTGTTAATCTCAGCAACAGATCATTAAAATACATTTGTCATTGAAGACAAATGTAGCCAAGCCCTTCTGTCAGCGCAAATCCCCAGCATGAGAGGCAGGAAAGAGCAGGTGCTGCTGTATTATTTGGCTATCACTAGCTTGGGTACCACGGCTTCTCTCTGGCCATTTCATTCAGTGGCATTCACAAACTGAATTTAACTGCCTCAAGGATTAATGAGCAGTGTCAGAACACTTTGCCACACTGCAGGGAGCAGCTGGGCTGGAAGCTGTGTGAATATCCCTGGAAAAGTGGTCATTAGGTCTGTGCAGCTGAAGGAATGGGAGGGTCTGTGGCTCTCCATGGCTTAGAAAAGACAGAAACTGGGGTCCCCTCTGTCCCCTGCCTGCTCTGCCAGGACCTTGGGCCAACCTCCTGGAGGCTGGAGCTCAGAGGAGCATCCCTGCCTGTGCCAGGGAGAGGCTGGCAGTGCTCTGGGCAGCTCCAGGCAGGGTGAGAGGATGAGATCTGGCCCAGGAGGAGAGCAGCTGCTCAGTGTGAACAGCACTTCTGCTCCCTTTTCAATAAGCAGCTCTCCTGTGTTAAATCCCTTACTCAAACACCTGCCAGGCAATACAGAGTAAAGAGTGTGAGCATGGGGGAAATGAAAAGAGCAGACTGGATACCAGAACAAACAGAACAATTGCTCTCATTCACTGGGGCAGTTTATTTCAGTGCTTTGTTTGATAGAGAAAATGTCAAGAGAAGTGCAGGGTTCAATGATGAGGCTTCTTCTAGATTAAACTTATGTACAAACCAATAACCAAGTAGTGACTTGACTACCAGGAGCAGGAGTGACAAAACCTTTTCTGTTCACTTTATTTGTACCACAAAGGCATTACTAAAGGTCAGTGCCACTATAACCAGTCCTTACTCCAAAGGTGTCTAAGCAGTGATTCTGGCAGAAGTCTCTGGGATAACACTCAAAGATGTGCTGTTTGCAGAGAGGTGAGGCTTCCAGCTTCTGGCAATGCAATCAGGGCACTAAAATTAACCTCCAGTGTAAGGGTCAAAGTACTAGCTCCCTGTACTTGAACATAAGCAGAAAGTCAGTGAGTTTTTTCAGGCTACTGAAGCTTCATTAATGCCAAGGGTCTGAGCTCAGCAGGTTTTAAAGCTACTGAAGTTCTTGGCCTGTCAGCAAAGGCATTTGTTTCTGACCTCAGATACTCACAGACTGAAGATACTTCAAACTAATACACTTCTAAATGTGATGATTTAGGAATATTAACCCTATTGCCTTCACCATCAGAATTGAATTAATATTCACAAACCTACAGTGAGGCTCCTATGCCTGACCTTTTTGGCAATTTTGAAAATCCCTCTTGGAATATTGCTATTTAATTTGATATATCAGAAAGTGTTTTGTGTTCATAACTTAATGGCTTCCATTTAACAAATGTCAAGTCTTGGCTGCTATTAGGGCAGAGCACAGTGTGCAGCTCTCTTGTGACATGAGCTGTCTAAGACCACCAATGAAGCAGGAATAAAGCCTGAACTAGGTTAGACTGTGGAAGCTTCAAATCCCCTACCTGTTGATATTTTGTTCAGACAAATACCCTTGCCACAAAGGACTGAAATCAGGTAGGAAAAGATGCTGCAGAGACAGGTACTTTGCTAAAGTTTCCTTTTGTAAGTAAGAGATCCATTTTATGTATTCTGCAAATCGTGCTGAATAAAAAAAGGTGCTGAATAAAAAAGCAGTAATTTCCTTTGCAACTACAAAAATCATTTCCCAACGGCATTTTGTAAGTGCTCACCTAACTGGGATGCTCTTTATCTTTCTCCCTTTTAAAATGTCAAGCAGATAAAAGTCTTCTAAATACCATTCTTTCCTATTTTGATTAATTTTGCATAGTGTTTTCCCAGAGGGATTGATACTTACATAAACCTGAGTTCTGATTCTCTTCTGACTAAGACTTCCCGAAGTCTCTGGATCTTTGCCATCTCAAGCTCAATTTCCTCAGGCATCATTGTTGTTTCAGCCATTGAAATGATGTCAAGTTGATCTGTGTGTGGAAGCAGAGAAAATGAATTAAGCCAGTCAGACTGTCTTAATGGTGTTTTTCAGGAATGTAAATTAAATCACAGAGCTACCTAACTATGGAGTAATTAATTCAAGCAGTAAAAAATACTCTAGCTGAATGCTGTGCTGACTGCTTTCTCTATTGTTTTTTCTGATTACTTGCAATGTAACAGTTTAGAAATGAAATACTCCCTAAGCCAAGGTGACAATCATTTTGTTAGTCAGGCTCAGTCATCCCTCTGAGGAATCCCAACACAGCCACAGCCACCATTCCTGAACTGATATCACTGCCACAAAACTCTCTCAGAGCAATTACTTGCAGCTCTGCAGAGTCCTACCTTGGTGCAGGCAACATAAACCCAAGAATATTCCCCAAATTTAACCCCTCTAACTCTCCCTGCTGCTCCACCCTGGAGCTAAAGCCCAGGCCCCCCCAAGAGGAGCCAAGGATGGGCTCAGAAATGATGCAGGAGCTCATCCTGCAAAGGCATTAAAATGGGAAAAAGCACTTTGCAGTAATAACTTGGCAGCTGGTAAGGCCAGGGTGCTTCTCTGATTATTTCTCCATAATTGATGTGTTATCTCTGTAACCCAGAGAGAAACAGGGCTGTGGACTGAACCTAAAGCAACCAATTTAAATGAGATGGGTTTGGAAAAGAAACTGCTTGGCCTCTGGAAAACTCCATTCCAAGGGTTCATCATACTTGGCCTTCACGTTAAACAAGAATTTAGACACTAAAAAATAGGTTGGCTGCGTATCTTGGTACCCAAATGGAGAGATATTCCTGAAAAAAGGCTGTTTCAGCTGTATTGATTTGAAAAGGGGAAAATAGAGAGGTCAAAACACACTCAGCATAATTATGCAGAAAACAGCAGACAAAAAGCACCAGAAAATAAGCTGTTCAATTAATTAAGAGGACACAAATTCTGAAGTCCCTCATGACAGACTAAGCACAGCTGAGAAGAATTTCTGACAAAAACTTGGAGTAGGAATGAAACTACAAAATCTCAGCAAAGAGCCCCTGTATGAGCTTAGTTCATGGTTCTCCCAAAATGGAGGCAAAGGAAAAACATTCTATACTATATAAACAAAATCTATTTCCCTTGTATTTAAACATAGATTAAATATTTTTTAAAGTTACCCTGCTATTATCTGCAAGTTTTTACTTCCTTTCTTAATTAAGGAAGTGGAGAAACAAAAATAAACATCTTTTTTTTTTTCAAGATAACAATCTTGAGAAAAAAATGAGACAGATTTTGAAATGTCTGTCATGACAGAACAGCCATGTTTCAGAAGTTGTTTTTACACTGAAATTGCAAAACTGGTCTGTAAAGAAAGGCTGTCTTGTACACACAGAAATGCTGCCTGTACACGATGGATTTCCCTATTAGAAATCATTGTGTTTGTTGGAGTATATTTAGTTGATGTGTAGCCTAAATGTCATGAGGTTCTCACAGGCCCACCTCTCATTTTCACTGCTTGCCAGAAATACAAGCAGGAGATGGGAAGTTATTCTGATGCTACCATGAATTAAAGCAAATAATACTGGTAAAGAGGAATATAAACCATAAATAAATTACACATACATATTATAAAATTAGCTCTCAAGAGCTCAGAAAACAGGGGGGAAAAAAAGGTAACTAATTTACCTGCACTCTGCAGCTCTAGCTGTAGGTGCCCTGGTGTCACTCCTTGTGTGAGGTCAGCCTCCACCCTCTGATTTCAACAACTCAGGAACAAACAAGCTTTTTGTGATGTGCTTAAAGCAGCACAGGAATTGGTGTGACAGGCAGAAGTCTGCTCTGACCCCTTGCAGAACAGAGATTCTCCTTCACATCCCACTCAACCTGTCCTTGAACCAGAGAAAAGATTTTTGAAACCGACCCAAAATTCTGCAGTGTCTCCAAAAGACTCAAAAATGCAAGCAAGGCAGCAGAAGCTTCAAAGTGGAGGGAAATAAACACAGAAACCATCAGATATCAGTTCACAGCTTGTGTGCAAGCCTGGAGATGTGGCTGAACCCTGGAATGGAGCACAGGTGAGGACACCAGGAGAGGCCAGGGCAGGAATTGCCACCCCAGCCCCCAGCACTCCCCACAGACACCAACCTCTGGCCCTCAGCTCCTCTTCCAACATCATGGATAACTGGCTCACCTGGGAGCAGCTGTGCTGAAGGATAATTAATTATTTTTCATAAAATGGTTTGAGCTCCTGGGATGTGAACCACTGGGGAAGATTATGTTAACATTATCAGGCCTTTAAGTAAAGCTCTAACTCTGTCCCAGTGAGCAATGACACCTCTGAGACATAGTTCAGAACAGCTTCACACAGAAGTTTCTTACATTTTCAAAAAAGAAAGAATGAACATTTTATTTTATTTAAAGCAGGTATGTAGTAGTCAACTATTTTTTTAGCATATATTGAGCTTCTTCCTGGTAATGAGACAAAATTCATAAAGAAAAAATGGAGACAACACTGAGATTAGTCACAGCCAGTGACAGGATTAAACTATTTTGTCTGTTCTGCAATCTCCAGGATAATTTTCAGTGACAAAGAAACAAGTAAAATGATATTACTGTATGCACAAAAAGATAGCATGAAAATAATTACTATAGGGAAATAAAATTATCAAGCAATTACACACAGTGAGAGGGACTGAAGAAGTAAGCCTGAAGTTATTAATGCATAACTTTGGTTCAATTTAGACACAGACTGGTATAGTTAAACTGGGTATTAACTTAATGATCACACTTCATCCTCAGTGTGGCAGCCAGAAATAGAACAGTGGCCAGCTGTGTTTAAAAGCAACAAAAATCCAAATTGCCTATTAAGTCAATAAGTGCAAAGAAAACGTTAAAAGAAGCCTGAATTGACACAATGAGAAATGGGAGAACACCTCACACCTGGTGTCAGTAGTTTAGAGCCATTGGGAAGGGATGCTGTGATTAATTACCAGCCCAGATCCTGCTGCTGTCACTGGTGGTGGCCCCATGGGACAGGCTCCCTGTGCTCTGCAGCCATTAGTGCTTTAATTGTCACTTGGGGCCGTCATTGTCACTGTGAACCGGAGAAGGTGAGGCCTGGCAGTGACACAGAGGGCCCCAAATCTCTGCTGTGGAACCAAACGGTGTCATTGTCACTCTGGGCTCCAGAACAGCTCAGGCACTGGCAGGGAACACGCAGGGAGGAGCTGCAAGGGTGGGATCCACAGCAAGTGCAGGGTCTGCTCCAGCAGGACCCTCTGGATCCTCCTCTTTATGGCTCTGCTGCTGGAACCCAGTCACACCTCCCAGAGCCTCTTCTTTATGGCTCTGCTGCTGCTGGAACCCAGTCACACCTTCCAGAGCCACCCCAGTGACCCAGCAGGAGGAGAGCTCCAGCACAGGGCAATGGCCCAGCTCTCTAGCACTGCTCCTCTCCATCCTGGCCACGGCTGAGCCATCCTAAATGAGACTGTCCAACCACGGCTGCTGAAGCTCCTCAGAGGATGGTGGCACGGACCAGTTCTGAGACCTCTCTGATGTGGAAACAACCCAGCAGCAAACCTGCTCTTCAGCCCCCCCAATGATCGTGCTCCAGCTAAAAATTATTTTAAGTCATTGTTCTGAACTGGACTTAAATTGAGCACTTGGAAGCCTACTTCTCCTCCCTTAAATTGTATAAGACAATAATAAGACAATCCATATTAAGAAGATGTTAATGGATAAGTTTTGCTCCAAATCTGGGTCCGAACTTTTGGGGCTTTTTCAAAGAATTCAGTGAAATTCTCCAGCTAATCCTATTTTGCTGAAGTATATTAAATGCTAATAGAGCAGAGTGCAGCAAGTAAACTCCTAATGCTACTTCACATATCAAAATCAAGACTCTCAAGACCATTATTAGTTGATGAGACAAAGCAGAAGTAAGCAGGAGGCACAGGTCAGAAATGGATGAACAGAGAACCAGCTAGTGCCACTTCAAAGGAGCATGCCTGGAAATTTAAATAGTTGCATAATGCAGAAAAATGAATTTGTTATAGTTCAAAATATTCCAGATAAAAATATTCATGTGAAAAGAATCAGATTGTTCTCATAGTTGGTCACTAACATGTCACCTGGAGGCATGAATGGGGGCTAGCCTTGCAGCCAGCCCTTTTACTGTACCTTCTGTTGTTGCCTCACAGTTGAATTTTTTTCCGTTTGATTTAATCCTTCTGGTGCAGGATGCAGTGGCCAATAACTAACCTGTACAGGAAAAACTACATTTAATTCCTTATTTCTAATCTAGCCTGCTGCAGCATTCTATTGCTGTGAATCCTAACAATTACTGAATTTGGCATGTGTGTGGCACATTGTATTTATTCAATGCTTTGTGATGGAATTACCATATAAATACAATACAAACAGCTGCAATGTGTTTTGTTCCTGGATTGCCTGAGAGGCTGCAGCCTTGTGCAATTTCAGATGGGTAGACTGGGGGAAAGGGAAAAAAGGGGCAGTGAGCTGGCTGTAGTGGCAGTGGGCACATCCCAGCCTCCTTACACTGCCTGCCTCTCTTGGTTTGGACACTGGCAGCAGTCTGGCTTTGGGAAACATCCCAGGAATGTCCTCATCCTGCTGCAGAATACAGCTCACAGCCATTTCAGGGGTTCTTTCAGAAATGCTGTAATCTCCTCTTTCCCCTCACGGCAATCTCTTCCCTCCGCTTGTCAATTTGTTCTCCTATTTCTTCTCTAGCACCAAGAACAGGCTGGTGATGGCACAAATTCAGTAAATTTGGGATGGTGCTGCTGGTTCATCAGGCCTCAGTGGGCAGCACAAATACCTGGTGAGTTTTAACACTGTGGAAAAGCAATCTCTAAAGGCAATAGGACTGTGCAGAGGCTGTCACTGGAGGAGCAAAAAGTTGATGTGCTGCTCCAGTCACATTCAGATGGCAAAAGTTCTCAGAATCCCTTTGCTTGCACTGCTGTCAGTGGCACTGAATGCAGGAGATAACACAGC